GTGTGTGGAGAGGCGGGGGGGGGGGGGGCTCTGCCAGGGGGAAATTGGGCTTAAAGACACGTCCCAGGGGTGTTTCTGGTATCAAAAGACGTTTCTGGTCCCCACCTGTCGTTTTGCTCCTCAGCATGGCTTCCTAAAAACGCTACAGGATTTCTCAAACATGCATGAATGAGTCAGAGCAAGGCTTTGGGCATGTTTTTTTATGAGAGTATAACATTATAACATGATATAAAACTCAAAAAAGTTGATTTTACATGATATTGCCCCTTTAAGATGACAGCAATCTACTTTAGTCATGGTCTTACTCAAACAGGCCATTAACTCGTCAGTCTGGTCAAAGTTAAACTCTACTTCTCCAAACAGAGGTCACTGAATAAACTTATTTATTTATTAATATTAAAGTTAGAAAGTTACCAAGAGTTTATAACCACTCGACAGAATTCCACCTCAAAACGTCCTGAATATTGATTTAAAACAAAAACATTTCCTCTTTTTACTCTATTCCCTTATGTAATTATTTTTGTGTCTGTGCAGATGACAACAACAGAATGTTGCATTATGAACAGCCTTATTATTGCTCTTCTCACACTTTCATCTGGGCTTACTTCATTTCTTTAGAYGCTCGGCCCTTAAACCTAAATAAAAAAAGATTTTAAATGAGAAGAGGGAAACATTTTCTCTGTTCTTTTTGTACATAAAGCAGGTAAACATATGGACACACACTGTTTTACATGTACTAAGCACGGTGTGTAACCACCATAGTGATTTAATGCCTCTCAGGTGGCACCTCCCCTTCCCTTCCCTTTATTTTCCCACCTTTTCACTTAAAAGGCCGCACTTGTGAGTCACACAGAAAGCGTTACAGAAAACAACACAACCCTGCAGCTATTTATCTGCCTCATACGCTTATTTTCCAATCTCCTGCCCTCCTTTTTTTACTTATATATTTGCGCTCCCCCATTTTATTTATTTTTTTTATCATTTATTTTTTTGTCCTCACAGGAGGTGGATGCTCCAGACAGATGTTAAAGTGTTTGGTCTGGTCAGGCTTCACACGGCGCAGGGCCACCCTCGACTCCCCGATGAACTCATTATGTGTCAGCTTGTCTTCGTCACACACAGACACCCTGGGAGACAAACAGAGACAGGGCTGGCAGGGGGAAGGTAAAAGAAATGACAAACGGCGAACGAGGCATGAATAAAAAATAAGAGCTGCCGGTTAATGAGGCAGAGATGGAAATCTGGAAGGAGCTGAGTGTTTCTGTGTGTCAGGGAGCATAGTGGTGAAAAACAATAAATTAATGCAGGTTTATACAAGAGAAGTGAGCCATAATAAGAGCACCATATGGATCTGCATAGCCTGCACGCAGTTGTGACGTTTTCCTCTGCTGGGAATTCAGAAAGTGTAAAAGTGCATCACTGACGATTAAGTCAATCCATATTTATGGCGCTGGTGAACTCTTACACCTGCCATAATGTCAGCTGAAACACTACCGGAGGGCGGGAGTGGCACAGAGGAGAGATGGAGGTGGAGGGAGGTTGGAGATGTGAAATCAAAAGGTGCCATCCGAAGGGACGGAGAGACGTGAGGTGAGAAAGAAAGGTTCAAAACAGGAGAAGTTATTTAAACATGCATGTGACTCGTGTGTTTTTAAGTAGCTGGAATCCAATAAATTTTTTCTTGCACTGAAATAAAATCTGATGGATGTGATCAATCTTAAAAACAAAGAGATTTTCATTTGAATTCTAACAGCCACATCCTCGGTTCCCAGTTTCTAGTAATAAAACAGAAAATAGCGAGGATGTGCAGGCTGGCAGCCTTGAGGCACGAGGTGCTAAAATCTGCTGTCATTAAACTGCAAAAAATAAAATAAAATAAACATGTAAAAGAACAGAAATGGAAAAGAGTAAGATACTGGGGAAGGAAAAGAACAGAGCAGAGAGATAAAGCGAGAGGTGAAAGAGTTACAGGRATAAAAAAAGACCAGGAGGATGAGCGAAGACAAAAGGTTGAAGAGTCAAATATGAGGGAAGAGATGTAAACATTTTACTCTGACAGCTTATATTTCCTACAAGCTGATCTAAAATGTCAACGAAACAAGTAGAAAAATCCTCTCCATGAGGTCACCGACATCCAAATCCACATCAGAGCCAGAAACCAAATGAGTTCTGACTCTGCACAGCTGAAGAGTTCACTCAGAAGCTTTTCTGCTCCTGCAGGGCAGCAGCTTTACTGAACTTTATATTAATAAAACCACAGGTTCATTCAGCGGTAAGACATTTCTGTAGCAGTACTTCCAATAAAAATATTACATGGAAATTTTAACTTTGTCCAACAGTGACATTAAATTTTCTACAGTTTGTTTCAGCCTTTATTACTCGTGGTTTTATATCCTTAAACTGCCTACATCAGAACTGAATTTTAGTAAGAAAGTAAGTAAGTAAATTTTTATTTATATAGCGCTACTATATAGTATTTATACATTAATATTTTCTTCTTATCTTGGCTCTACAGTTTCTGCTTGTACAAGTTATTTTGAGACTTTATTCGCATCTATTTATGAGCGACCGGTCCTGACAAATGAGGCACGGTAAATAGTAATATAATAATATATATTTTTAATTCTCCGTCTCAAAAGCTTCAAAATGATATAAAGTTTGTCTAAATTTGGCGATTGATTGCCCGGCCTGGTTACAAGTTTTGTTTATAAAGTGTTGGTTAGCATTAGCCGAGAGATATTCTTTTGAACAAAGCAGCCACTGTTCAAAAGAATGTCCCAACACAGACGAGCTACATCTGATGGCCAGAACTCTGCAGTTTTCACTCATTTACAGGCCAGCGGTCACTCTTTCAGAGATGAGGATGTTCTCATTCTTGATAGAGAGGAACGTTGGTTTGAGAGAGGAGTAAAAGAAGCCATTTTTGTGAAGAAAGACCGTCCATCATTAAACAGAGGCTCCCTCTAGCGGGTTGTGTTGACGTCTAATCCAGGACTGTAGGCAAGTCCTACAGACTGTTGTTGAGATACCTACAACAGGTCCTTTGAAGTGGGCCTGACTGTCAACTTTTGCAAGGTAGTCAGCCCATTTGGGGCTGACTAAGTACAATTTTTATTTTTATTTATTTTTATGGGATTTATTTATTTTATTTATTTTTATGGGATTTTTTTCCTCACCACTTTCTATGGGACATATGTTGTTTACAAATCTTTCTGTTTTTTTTGTAGAAAACAATGTGGTACATATTTCTTCAGCTAAAAAATAAATGTGTGTTTGAAAGATGACTGATTTKGTAAATTTCACTTTGCTTGTAATATGCCACTGTTTTCATCAGATAGGATACAGRTCCTTCTCAAAAAATTAGCATATTGTGATAAAGTTCATTATTTTCTGTAATGTACTGATAAACATTGACCTTTCATATATTTTAAATTCATTGCACACCAACTGAAGTAGTTCAAGCCTTTTATTGTTTTAATATTGATGATTTTGGCAAAAAAGTAAAGAAAAATCAAAAATCCTTATCCTTGTCAGCAGTCAGGTCAGCAGTCTGACCATGATTGTGGTTTTGAGTAATGAACCAGGCTGKGAGTTTTTAAAAGCCTCAGGAATCTTTGCAGGTGTTTACAGTTAATTCGTTGATTCAGGTGATTAGGTTAATAAGTCGTTTAGAGCAGTGTTTCCCAAAGTTGGGGTCGGGACCCAAAGTGGGGCCCCGAAACATCAAGGTGGGATCCTGATAAGATTTTCTGAAGTAATTACATTTTTGCCTTAGTTGTTACAAAGGAGTGAGGTTAGTATATTTAAAATTGATAAATGTAGTATAAAAATATTGTTACCATGCCCGTTTTGTTGACCAGATACAAATGTTTATCATCCAAACACAGTTGGGTACATATCTCTGCTGCTGTTATTTTGTGGGTCAAAAGCTGAAAAGTTTGGGAACCACTGCACTTTGGTTCCCAAAGTTGGGCTTGGAACCCAATTATGGGTCATGAAGCACCTTGGATAATCTCCAGAAATCAATTTAAAGGGTAATAAAATAATTGDTGATGTAATATTTTCCCTATAATTATTACAAAAATACAAAATAAGTATAAATAAGTATTTATATTTGTGTACAAGCTGTTTAGATTGTCAAAAAGCCTGTGTTTTTAGGGCTATTAACAAAGTTCGTGTACTTAGACCAGTAACATTTGGGGTCACAAGTTTTTGCCATGGATATTTTGTGGGTCAGAAGACAAAAAGGTTGGGAACCACTGGTTTTGAGAACCTTTTCATGATATGCTAATTTTTTGACATAGGGATTTTTTATTTTTCTTTTCTTTTTTGCCAAAATCATCAATATTAAAACAGTAAAAGGCTTGAACTACTTCAGATGGTGTGCAATGAATCTAAATATTTGAAAGTTTAAAGTTTGTCAGTACATTACAGAAAATAATGRACTTTATCACAATATGCTAATTTTTTGAGGAGGACCTGTATTTTTTTCTTTAAGAATATACACACCAGGCGACAYCTGGAAATATCAACGATGAACAAGAGGGTTTATATAAAAAAAAGGTTTTTGATAAACAGCAAAAGTCAACATCTGTGTGTTTTTCCCGTGTCAAATCTGAAGTCTCCTGATGTTTCCGTGCCTCTGCTGAATTAAATCAGTGTCACGGGTCGGTAGTAGGGCCAGCTTCTCTAATGTCCCTGGAGAGGTAACCCGTCGATCCTGCTCACATCCAACTCTCATGTGTGCCACCGCAAAAGTTCTAGTCACAGGCAGAGACAATTCGCAGCTTTCGTCACCTCCAGAGGGGGGTCAATGAAATTAAAACACCCGGCGGTGCTTCGTCTGACCTCAATCTGTCACTGCAACTTTGGAAAACAAAAAGCAGGGAGGCGGATGGAAAGAAATACAAAGAGAAAAAAGGGAGATCTTTCCCGATCTTTGCTGGGCAGAAAAGACATGAGGATGAGGAGGGTGACAGAGGAGGAGGGTAGAAGGATCAACAGAGATAGTGAACCACAGAAAGTGCTTTTAACTGATGGCAGAAGACGCAGTGACTCAGACAGACGATAAGAAGTCTTTTGTATGCGTGAGCGAGATCTGGAAGGGTTTTAGATCCCAGAAGGGCTGGAAATAAAAGTGGACAGAAATAACCTCGTCTGAGGGAGACGTTTACCTCAGAGTCTTTCGGTACATGTCCTCCTCGGTGATCCCACAGTAGGTGAGCGTCTCATTCCAGACAGGGTTGAGTGTGTTTCGAACAATCTTGGTTTTCAGTTTGTTGGCCTGCACAAAAGAAAATGTCTCTCGAAACTTTGTTTGGCAAAAAAAAAAAAACAAATAAATACAAAAAGAAGGATGAAAAACCCCACTTTGCTTTACTGCTGATTTATTCGTCCGTGATTGCATTTTCAAGATAAAACATGATTGAAAAGTGTGCTCCAACATCACTGGTGAAGGTCTTTATCTATTATAGAAAACCGCACACAAAAATAAAGCTTTGCTGGTAATAAAATCAGACCTTGCACGCTCCTGGCAGCAGATGCAGCTTGACGTAAGGATCAGCCAAACCATTGAAATCCATTGGCTTTAAACCCTTACAGGAAAAATAGGATAATTATAGAAGCAGGGTGCAAAAAACATGATATTTTTGACAGTAACTTAAGGAATGCTGTGGAGCTGTTGAACATCACTGAAACAGACTTCAGTTTTTAGGTGACATTCAGAGGAGTCACACCTTTGCTCTCAGGACTGTGCAGTGTAAGGAGCTTGTGGCTTTCTCGTACAGGAGGTCAAACTCTAGTGTCCCCAGAGAGGCTGAAAGAGAGTTAAAGAAAAGGAGGGGAAAAAAGCATGTCACTTACGTCTGTAATTGCTTTTATGATGATGACATTATTAGCAGTAACGGAGACGAAAAGTGATGGTGGGGGTAAAAATTCAAACCTTTTATGAGCAGGAATTCATTTAAACACTTTTTTTAGTGTGGAATCTGAGAACTCTCCTCTTGGTCATTAATGAACAAAAACAAGCTGATCGATCTGCTGTAGACAAGACATTTAAACTAATTTAATCTTAACTAAGGTATGATACCTTAAGAAAACAATGGTCTTTTTTATATAAGACTATGACGTATCACAAATGAGTGTTTCTATTTTTCTTTCATCATACAGTAACCTATTACTGTCATGACACTTGGAGATGATAGCAATAAAGTCTTAGTTTTAAATTAATTTATGTTAAAATGAGCTTTAACTAAAGAATATTTTGAAAAAACAAGTTTTGTTCTTTTGCAATAATGACAATCATTACAACAAAATAAGCATCATCACAAGATATTGCAATAAAACACGTCATCTTTAAATAAAGTCAGAAAAATATGTTTAAAACACATCTTTTTTACACAAGCTTCGTGATCATTTGCTTGTATCATCATCGGCTGTACAAATCACCAACAGCTTTAAGTTCATGTAACAGACGTGTGTTTTGAACACATTTCTCAGACTTTATTTAAAGATGACACATTTTTATTTCAATTTCTTGAGGTAAAGATGCTCATTTTGTTGTAATGGTTGTCATTACTGCAAAAGAAAAAAAGCTTGTTCCACTGACTCACTGTACAYCTCTATACAGCAAGGAGAAGAAAATATTTTTGTCCAACTAGTGCTGCCTTATAGACTAGATACAGAAACATTAGATATGTTTCAGCACTATTAGGTCTTTGTTTAGAGCTTGATTAGTCCTGATTTTAACATGGATTCATCTCATTTGAGACCAAAGTTAAAACATTTTAGACATTTAGTTCCTTTGTTCTACTTTTGCACAAAAGTGTTTCTAGTTTACTGTAACAAATATCTACAATTCAGCAACCTAGTACAAATATTCCAAATAACTAACTAAAAAGCTCACAAACTGTTACGGCCAGAGGTCTTTCTTCTATGTTTATACTAAAGCATGGAATGACATTCCTCAAAACATAAAGTCCAATTCAAAACTACAGCCCTTTAAGAAGAATCTTGTCTGCTGGACACTTTTTGATGTGCTCATATTTAGACGTCCTATTTTGCAAATGCTGCCTTCCTGAAATTTGGTATGCTTGTTTGTCTTTGTGTCTATGGTGTATAATGATGTGATTGTGATGCTGTAATTCTGAGTGTTTTATGTGCTGCAGAACAGGAACCTGCTGTAAAACAGCAATTATGCTGAGTCAGGCTTGATTTTTAGTAATCTTTTCCTGTTAAATAAATAAATCAAATCAAATCAATTAGATTAGAGTCAGAGCTCCTTCATTAGTCCCAACTAGACTCTAGAACTGTTCCAAGCCTTGTCCTTGGAGAGGTGACTACTAAATGAGCTGACAGTTGTGGTAAAAAGGGCTGTAAATTAGGAAGGTTTCAGTGGCGCAGGGAGAAGATGTTCACTCTGCAACCAGAATGTYGCTGGTTCAAATCCCTGCCTGAATGCATACTGTTGTTGTGTTTCTGGGCAAGACATTTAACCCCCATGAAGCACAGAAGTTTTCCAACTATTCTTGGCTACACTCAAGTGAAATGCACTGTTTAAAATAAACTCTAAATTGTAAGTACTTTCAGTACTCCTGTATTTTTGAAAGTACTTACTCCAATCATTTAACTTAAGAAACAATTTGACAGAGCTACTTCTACTTTTATTGGAGTAGGGGAGACCGGGGACAGTAACAACAAGGGACGGTTGCATCACGTCAYTTTTCTCCAAACAGAAACAAGCTGGAGTGATGATACTCACATTGTACATGCTCAGTTAGATGCCCCACCTTGCAAAGAAAAAGTAAGCAGTTTCAAAAACTGCTCCAGGATTTATTTGAAAAAAAAAACGTATATGTTTTTGAGGTACCAAAGTATTGTTTTTGCTTAGCTTTGTTTTCGTCATACTGTTGTCACTGTTTTTGTGATCCAGCTCAAACTTATATGCTTTAAACTAGTGATATGTTTGCTTTCAACTAATATAGTTAACATACTGTATGTCCAGATCAGCTTATTTAGCAAAAACATGAGGTTTTATCACGGCTGACAGGAAAGGGGACAGTTACAACAACTGTTGCAACAATCCCCATTCTATAAACCCATATAAAAACAGAGGACATATAGATGAGATTAAGTTGTTGAATTTAAGTTTGTACTTAAATAGATATTGGGTGTTCATAATTTTATAGTTTAAAACTTATGAGTGTTTAAGATGTATTTTCTACAGTTGTTGTTTTCAACAATGGTTTTAAAATCCCAGTTTCTTTCAATGTAAATGTTGCATAATGTAGGCGTACASTGACAATAAGCAAAACAAAAGTTAACTGCCTCACAATTTGTTCTCTTATCCTTGTCTCAAAAAGTCAACAGTGTTTTACATCATTTAGAGTCTTTGACATCTGAATATAAGGTCTACTCATCAGGGCAAATCTATATTTGACATTTGATCAAAAAAGAATAAATAAATGACACTGTAACATCATTATAACTTACAGTTTTTATTAATTTAGCAATAATATAAATATAAAAATAATAAAACTTTTATTTACAGGGAAATATATTGTATTCATAATATGTTGCAACTGTCCCCAGCCCCGGGGTCTGTTGCAACATCTGACTTTTCATTTTCAAATGCAAATTGTGAAGAATGTACATGCTTTAATCATCTATAAATGGTTTTGACTATTAACAGACAGATGTAGGTTTGTTCTACAAAAATTTGGTTTGTCTGATTCAAACCGTCTCTGAGTAACAGAGTCAAATGAAAAAAGTGTTGCAACTGTTCCCAGTCTCCCCTAATATTTGACCAGTAGGATCAGTACTTGGACTCAAGTAAGGAAAGTGAGTTAATGAGAGAACATTTGTTTAGTTTGTTGTTGTTCTCTCAGTTAATCCATCTTGTTACCAATGAGTGTTTGTGTTGAACGTGTAGACTCTTTGTATGCCGATGGTGCTGAGGTTGAGAATGCACCGGGTGCAACTAAAAGTTTGTAAGTCGGAGTTGACCGTAGTCTGTCACCCATTAGAAATGAAAAGTCACCAAAGTTTACTTGTGAGYGGTAAAACTGAAACAGCTGTGCCCTAAAAACCTGTGGTGTGTCCAGGTCTGTCAGTCTAATTGTTTGTGTCTCACTGAGACCTGATCGTTACTCTCAGGTGACTCACTGCTGTCGTCGCTGTCACAGCTGTCGATCTCGATGGAGGTGTCCATGCTGCTCATGGCCGACAGTGACCCCCCACCGCCTGCAGCTCCCGGTAACAGCGGAGACAGAAGGCCACCGCTTGCTCCTCCTCCTCCTTCTCCTCCTCCCACAGTCCCTCCACCTTGACCCGAGACGAGTGCAGCCGGCGCCGACAGCTGATTGGGCGAGAGGGGCTCTGAGAAGGAGGAAGTGGGCGAGAGGCGTGGGAAGTAGGCAGAGATTTGTCGTATGGGACGAATGGGGCCTGGGGAYACGTCGATGGCCATGTGCTCCTGGATGGAGATGCCTAAACGGTTTCCTTTTCGCACAGTCATAGGGGCTGGGAGGAAACACATTTATGCCGTTAAACACATTCGTCTTCATTAATCAATTTTAAAAAATGCATTCAGCCAAAATCTGTGGTGAAGACACTGATAAGCTGGTATCTGGTCATCTCTGAAACTCTCATCTGTCATCAGGAAGYTATTAACTCTTTCTCCCTGAAAACTCTATTGAGATAATTATGAMAGTTTTCTCATAAGACGACAAAATACAGCAACAACATTTGCATTTCAATTGAATAACTCTGAATAAAGCCAAGCCTTGGAAGGAGGAGAACAGATAATAGACAAAAGGGGTTTTCTTTTGAATCCTCATTCCCCTCAATAAAACTGCAGTGTGTGTGTGTGTGTGTGTGTGTGTGTGTGTGTGTGTGTGTGTGTGTGT